TGACTAACTTTGTACTACATAAACACTGACCATATTTGAAGCACGTAACATTGACAAACTTTGTACTACTGATACGCAACCTGGTTTATATTGTCTAACTTTGTACTACGTTAACACTGACTATAGTTGTAGCACGTTACCTTGACTTACTTTGAACTACGTTAACACTAACTGTATTTGTAGCACGTTACCTTGGCTAAATGTGTAATACGCCACCTGTTATATATTGACTAACTTTAAAGTACGTTTACACTGACTATACACTTTATTTGTTAGACGTCCTAACACAGGCTAAATTTGCAGTAGGCCCTTACCTTGACTTTCTATAGTCTATACTTACCTATTAGAATAACATTATCGATCAGCCAGTAGCAATACTGGGTTTTATATTTGGTATTGATATAGTGCACACAATAAGTGCATTAATGTTGTCATTGGCCGGATATGTAGGTCAAACACGAGACAATTGAGGAAGAAAAACATGTTTACGGTCAAAAAATGTAAATTTAACATGTGGTAGTGTTTACGTGCATTATTGAATCGATTGCTGTATATTAATTATCTGAAAAACGTAAACACGAGTATAGCTCCGTCTTGCGTGACAACAGCAACAAATCTAAAAATATTAACTTAGCTAATTACAATATACCTCTGTAATAAACATAATACTTGAGGATTAACTTGAATATATTTTTTATGTTATGGAGATAAAACACACAAAAAACGGAGTGTACTCTAAATAAACCGCGAAGCGGTTTATGATGAGAGTACACTCCAGTTTTTTGTGCTATAGTTACATTACTTAAAAAATATATTCAAGTCAATCCCTATAATTTAATCTATTATACACAATCCATGTGGAAATCCACTTTTATTGATGGTCTCTTTTCTCTTACAAATTATTACGCCGTTGTATCAGCCAATCAAAAGCGACGTTACAAACGGCAACGTCATTATTTCACGTTATGTGTTGATAACATAACTTGTTAAGCCAATGAAAATGCTTGTTACAAGCAAGATTATATTATATAAAGATATGTAAAAGGAACAGAATTTCTATGATACAATTGATTTTTAACACACGCTAGTTAATAATCCAAGACCTTTATTACTTAACCGTTAAATCCGATTCTAAAAGCTTCTTCAGCTAAATGTCTATCATCTGTGTTAGAAGGTTCCAGCTTTTGTTTTGTAGTGTTATGATAGACTGATACGGGACCATCCCACAAACGAGATAGATGTATGACAAGGGACAAGCTTGTTCCATTTATATTGTAATACATATATTTGTGTGTCTACATTCATCGGATGTTACAAAGGTTTTCCAGCAACCTTAAACCATTCAGCTGGATTCTTGAATAACCCTACTTTGTAAACGAGAGGAATCTAATAATTAATACCAAACCTAGGAACAGTGGACTGCTAACTGAAAAATGTCATTCCATGTTATCCAACTATTCGTCGTCTTAATTTGTTGTATGACGCATAACATTGACTAACTTTAGAGTACGTCACGGCTAAGCCCTGACCAACGTTGCAGTACGTTACCTTGAGTAACTTTGTAGTACATAATAGTTTCTACCTTTGTAGCATGTCATCTTTACTAGTTGTGTAGCACGTCATCTTGACTAGTTGTGTAGCAAGTCATCTTGACTAGCTGTGTAGCCCGTCATCTTGACTAGCTGTGTAGCGCGTCATCTTGACTAGTTTTGTAGCCCGTCATCTTGACTAGTTTTGTAGCCCGTCATTTTGACTAGTTGTGTAGCACGTTATCTTGACTAGCTGGGTAGCACGTCATTTTGACTAGTTGTGTAGCACGTCATCTTGACTAGTTGTGTAGTATGTCATCTTAACTAGCTGTGTAGCACGTCATCGTAACTAGCTGTGTAGCATGTCATCTTAACTAGCTGTGTAGCACGTCATCTTGACTAGTTGTGTAGCACGTCATCTTAACTAGCTGTGTAGCACGTCATCTTGACTAGCTGTGTAGCACGTCATCTTGACTAGCTGTGTAGCACGTCATCTTGACTTGTTGTGTAGCATGTCATCTTAACTAGCTGTGTAGCACGTCATCTTAACTAGCTGTGTAGCACGTCATCTTGACTAG